CCCCCCCAACACCTTTCCTGCAGAGTCTCGCCTGGAGTCTTCTCCTGCAGTCTCCTGGATAGCCTCTCCGGTGTGTGCGATGAACCGTTTCAGAGCAGTTATAACCACGGTGCCCGGGCCGGCGTGACACGTAAGGGGCCGTTCATAAATTACGTCACGCTTTTTTGGGCCGTTTTTCGACCCCCCGCCCCCCTTTGTCACAATTAGTCACGATTTTGACTCACCTCCCCTCCCCCTGTGACGTCACATTTTCCCCTTATTAAATCCTTGGTAATGAATTTCGGTCGAATGATGACATTGACATGTTCTAGGGACATTAGGGCTGATACAGAGGAACTACATGTAGTTTCGCGGAAGTTCGTTTCCCGTCACTAGATCCGCTAATCGCGCGGCTCAGAGCCTTTAGAGCTCACCAAATGGCGCGCTCCTTTCGAAAAATAGTGATAGTTTTGGCACCTCACGAAGTCAGTCAAAGTGTGACGTCACAGAGGAATTGACCCCCCCACCCCCATTGTCACAATTGGTCACAAATTCGGCTACCCCTCCCCCCCCAAAAAGTGTGACGTAATTTGTGAACGGCCCCTAACGGCTGTACACCGTCAGCGTGATGGCTATAATGAGCCGCCCGATAATGTACTTTTGTAGATAATGATTTGCCAGTTTTTTAAAATAAAATAAAATTGTGCATTGAAAATAATATTTTTACAAAGTTTTCCCGAAATTGTCATGTTTTTCTTTCGCTTGACTCGACGTGGTCTCTTGTGCCGCCAGGGATGCTGCTCGGAGTGCTGGCGCTGTGCCTGGCGCCCCTCTGCGCCGAGGGGGCCTCGACGGGGTCCTCGAGGCAGCAGGAGGGCTACTTCGACGGCGCGGCGTACGTGCAGCTGCTGTCGCCGGTGTCGCTCCGCGGCCACGTCGGCCTCAGCTTCCGGACGTGCGAGGGCGGACAGCTGTTCCACCAGACGTCGTCCGCGAGGACCTCGACGTCCTCGGCGCCGTCCTCGCCCGGCTCGCCGGCGTCGTCCAGGTCGGTGAGCCTGGACGTGCGCGAGGAGGGCCTGGTGCTCCGGGTCACCGTCGGCGCCAAGCAGTTCGAGTCGCGCTTCAACGCGCGCCTCCTGGACAACGAGTGGCACAACGTGAACCTCGTCTACCTCGGCGGCAACCTCACCCTGACCGTGGCCAGCCACTCCCAGGTGAGTCCGTCATGTCCGCGACACGGGGAGCTTTTGTGGAAGTCCGTACTCACCGATCCACGCGTCTTTTCGATCGCAGGTTGTGGCCAACTCCACATACAACTCCGAGATCCTCTCGGACTTGGAGCCGTCGAGCTATGATTCCGTTCTCCGAGTAGGCGAAGGCTTCGTGGGCTGCATTCTGCAAGGCCCTAGTCTTGTGTTCAACACGTCGGCGATGTTGTCCAAAAAGGTTCAGTGGGGTGGCTGCCCTCTGAACAACTTCAGTTGTAAGTAATCTCACTTACTTTATTTTGTTTCCTATTACCTAGTGCGTGTGCGGCCTTTTGATTTTTTCTACTGTAGCTAGATAATATTTTTTTCCAGCCTTTTTGAGAATTGGTCCTCATTCTAGCCTTATTAGTACCTTTATTTTTTTTTAAACGTGAGACACTTTGGTTTTATGATAATCATTTTAGTGCCATTTCAAAGTTATTAGAATATGAGCACCCTTTAAAAAGGCGCATAAACTGCCAACAGATGTTTTGTTTTTTGACTTGGAAAGGTATTAAAATTGAATAAAATCAAAAAGTCTTACATTTGTTTTTTTCTGTTTTGTAGTATGATGTCACTTCTTTTTCAGAGTAGTGTCCTCTCACCATACCATAGTCCTACATGTTTGGTTATATTACATTATTTTAAATCATATCTTTGTGATTCTCACAATGAGGTGCATCTCATAAAAAGCTCTACGGCAGCACATTTTTATAACATGGTTCCTGATATCATGTCATAAAACTACTTAACATTCATTGCTTCATCATGCTTGACTGCCCTACATTTTGATGATTTTTCTCATTCTCATTGAAGCCCATTTTACAACATAGTTCAGCTTATTGAATTCCACTTGTGCTATTTGTACATCAATTGCTTCTTTAAAATTTGATTTAAAACTTTCTGATTTTCAAGCTTTTTTTACAATTTTACATTTTAGTACAATATCAACTACGTCTAAACAAAAATTACATAATTAAGCAAAAATTGCAAAATTTGCTTTGATTACCTCTATCAATTTTGTTTTTCTCCTCTCTCCCTCTATGACTTCCCTCTTTATTTGCACTTTGTGTGAGTTTCGTGTTGTGTTAATTTTGCACTTTTCTCCCTTGAGGCATGCAGCATGTTTTGTCTGGAGGCTGAGAGTAAGGACTGTTATTCGGACCACGATTTGCTTTTTCGGTCCATCTGGTTGTAGGACCCTCTGATTGTTCCCTATATCAGTCCTTAGGCTCCGCTCACTTGTGTGTGTGGTGCTTGCTCAGATACGCAAGTTGCCCATATGATGACAAGCAATCTTGGCGTATGAGTAGTTCTGTAGCATTTGGTTTGGCTGGTGTTCGGCAGGCTCAAAGGTTGACCACTGCATAAACGAGCCCTGCTTGCGACACGGTGTATGCTTCTCACTGCCCGATCGGTACGACTGTCGCTGCTCAGCACGCTATACAGGAAAGAACTGCGAAGTTGACAATGGTGAGCTTTTACAAAAGCACTATAAAAGAGAAAAAGTTCAACACGACGAAAAGTGGTGGTATGAGTGTTGTAAAATGTTTCCGTGGGGTTCTTCCTCCTGTGAATTTGGCTCGCAAATTCACAATTTGCACTTGCTCATGCAATGCTAAATGACGGATTGACAGCTTTGACCATGACACATAGGTCATACATTCAATCATATCATTTCCTATTCATTACCTCATAAACTTTCACACACTCATATGTTTAAAGCAAACATACATATTTAAGATGAAGGGGCTTAAACTTCTGGAGAGAGATCATTTTACACCTATTTTCAGATTTGCTTCTTAAAATCATGAGAAAATTTTAAATCATAACATATGATTTTTGACATTGTTTTATTCCATGCTCTTAGTCATTTGATGAGTGTAGTGGTAATATTTTTCTTCGTAGTCTTATCAGTGTGTTTTAATTCCACTCTACTCATACTATATAGTACAGTTTTGTAGATTTTGAAATTTGCATGTTTTAATACCTACTCTTTTGGTTTCTTCAAAAGTTTTGTTTGCCTCATTATTATAATTAGTAGAATAATTATTTTTATTACTTCTTTTACATCCGTTATTGAACTGTAGGAAAAGTATACTATTTCATATTGCCTTTCACTTATTAGGTTCTCCCTGCAACCGTAATGGTGTTAATCCTTGCCAGAACAATGGGCATTGTATGGAGGATCAAATGGGTAACTACAAGTGTCATTGTGGCCCAAGTCACACAGGTAAATATTTTGTTTCAAATCAATCAGCCAGTCTATGCTATTATTTTTAAATTTGTTTGTGCATTGGTTTAATGTCATTTCTTTCCAGGACAACATTGTGAAACCGAAATCACCTCACACATTTGTGAGAATAATCCTTGCCAAAACAATGGATCTTGCAGAGTTTCAGCAGGGAATCGCTATGAATGCACATGCTTACCAGGTTTTACTGGGGTTAACTGTGAAATTAACATAAATGAGTGTCAGTCAAACCCATGCCAACATGGGGGATCTTGCATTGATGGCATCAACAATTATACCTGTATTTGTAGTCGAACAGGGTAAGGTTTCCCTTTCAGTCCTTTCTCCACTTGTAATAACTGTGAGCAATATGATCATGTGTAATATATAATCCATTTCTTTGTAGATATGTGGGGCTGAACTGTGATGTAAATATAAATGAATGTGATCTCAATCCATGTTTAAACCAAGGTCTCTGTTTTGACAACTATGGGAGTTACACCTGCCAGTGTATGCCTGGGTTTGCTGGTCAAAATTGTGAACAGGTAGGTGTATCCACATATCTTTAAATGCTGTTTTTATTTCTTTTTATATTGGCTGGAAAAGCTCAAGCATGGCCATGCTTATTTCCTTTAAATACTGCTTTGCTCTTTAGAACATCAACGAATGCAGTTCAAGCCCTTGCTTAAACAATGCTCACTGTATTGATGTAGTTGGCTCTTATGAGTGCCACTGTCAGCATGGCTTTACTGGAAGGAATTGTGAAACCGACATAAATGAATGTGAAACTGCTGTTTGCCCCTCCAACTCGCAATGTGTTGATGGCATTGGAAGTTTTCAGTGTGTTTGCAAAGATGGGCTTACTGGTAATTATTCACCAGCCAAGGAGCTGCTTTTTATGTCTTTACATCAGTTAATTACTTTGTTAACTTGTTTCTCTTCATTTTCTTCTTTTTCTTAACAGGGAAGCCTCCCAATTGCTCTGAGGTCAATGTTTGCACAAGTAGCCCATGTGTGAATGGAGGCACCTGTGTCGTTGTAGGTGATCATTTTAACTGCACTTGTCCAAACGGTTTTATAGGTAAAAAAATGATTTCCTCTAGTTTCTGCAATTTTTACAAAGCAATTTTTTGATTATCCTAACGCATTATTGTTTTGTTACAGGTAAAATGTGTCAAGTGAACATTGATGAATGTGCTTCAAATCCGTGTTTAAATGGTGGCACCTGCTTAGATCAGATTGGTGGCTACATCTGCAACTGTTCAGATGAATTTATGGGTGTTCACTGTGAAATGGAATTTGATGCTTGTGCTTTCAAGCCTTGTAAAAATGGTGGAGAATGTGTGACACAACCAAGGAGGAAAGAATTTTACTGTGAATGTGCTCCAGGTAATAACAGTTCTGTGAAGTAAAGTACTCGTACTCGTACTGTTTATGTCTTGCCAGATTGTTTGTAACCGAATTCCTATGATATTCCAATTTCAGGTTTCAGTGGCCTTGAGTGTAAAACAGATATTGATGATTGTGCCAATGTGACTTGTCCTGTTGGACGGGAGTGTGTGGATCTGGTGAACGACTATGAGTGTCGATGCCCACCTGGCTACTCAGGAGACAATTGTACCTTGGATGTTGACTATTGTGCCTCAAGCCCTTGCAAAAATAATGGTACATGTCAGAATGCTGCTGGCAGTTTTGTGTGTGATTGTCCTGCTGGTTATCAAGGTGGGATTTTAAACATGTTTGTTACTCTGCTGACTTTGCTTCACTGTTTGTAAAGTACGTATGTATTGAGACATGTTTATGGTTTTTCCATTTAAGGTCGAAGGTGTGAACAAGACGTGGATGAATGTAAACTGGCTGATGGTCTTTGTAATCAAGGAATTTGTGTGAATAAGTTTGGTGAGATTCTCCTTTTTTTCTAGTCTTAAACCTATGTTTGTATTCATATCATATATTCATATCAGTAACATATCTTATTACATTGTGAATCTTTATTCATTTACAGGAGGCTACGATTGTTTCTGCCGGCCCGGATTTACTGGAACGCATTGTGAACTAGACTTTGATGAATGCCTCTCTCGCCCTTGCCAGAATAATGCTACTTGTGAAAACCTTATAAATAGTTTCAATTGCGTTTGTACACCAGGCTACACTGGCAGGGAGTGTAACATTGACATAAATGAATGTGATTCAAACCCATGCCAAAACAACTCAACTTGTATTGATGGCATTGCTACATTCTCATGTATATGCCCACCTGGACTTACTGGTATCTTATGTGAGACAAATATTGATGATTGTGAGTCTTCACCATGCTGGAATAATGGATTGTGCATAGATGGTATAAACAGTTTCACTTGCGATTGCTCTGACACTGGATTCAGTGGTGAACGATGTGAAAACAATATTGATGACTGTCTTGGTGATCCCTGCACCAACGGTGCAGAGTGTGTTGATGGGATTAAAGACTATACCTGTGAATGCTATGCTGGATACTCAGGTAAGATCCCTAAAATCTTTTCCCCAATTATATTCTACTTAATTCATATTCTAAATAGACATGGAATACTTATCAATCATATTAAAATTTGCAGGCAAAAACTGTGAAATTGACATAAATGAATGTGAAAGTTCCCCTTGCCAGTATGGAGGATTCTGCTTCCAGAAATCAAACAGCTCTCTCTACCAGACTAATGATCCATCATTACCAGCAATCTTTGCAGAAAAATTCAGTTATGAAAATGCTAGCGGGTCAGTTACATATTTAATCTAACATAAAATTCCGTGTGCAAGTTAGCCCTTGAAATAATCAACTAATTATTGTTTTCTAGATATATTTGTCTTTGTGTCCCTGGTATTACTGGTTCCAACTGTGAGGTGAACATTAATGAGTGTGAAAGTAATCCATGCCGTTGGGGCAACTGCGTGGACAAAATAGGGCACTATGATTGTGAATGTGAGGAGGGCTTCATGGGTGCTCACTGTGAAATTGACATTGATGAGTGTGACCTTTACAAGTAGGGATTCGAATACTGAAATACTTTTACTATCTTAACGGATTATGTTCTATATTTGTAATGATTTTGATTTTCTGATGCAGGCCTTGTGTCAATGGGACTTGCATTGATCGGCGGGCAAATTATTTCTGTGAGTGCACACCAAAATATGGTGGCAAAAACTGTTCTGTTGAGCTTCATGGATGTGATGAAAATCGTTGTCAGAACAATGGAACATGCAAGCCTTATTTAGAAAACGAAACACAACATAAATTTAATTGTTCTTGTACCAATGGATATCATGGAGACTTGTGTGAAAAGGTAAGACTTTCAAGCTTTCAAGTGACGTGTCAACTTAAGTGACTTTTTTCTCGGTGTATTTATATATTCTTTTTCTGGTGTCTGCAGGTGACCACTATGTCCTTGAGTGGAAAATCATATGCCCTCGTGCATACTACCCGAGATGAAGGCTATGATATTCAGTTCCGCTTTAAAACAACACTTCCAGATGGTTTGCTTGCCATTGGCAAGGGATCAACATTTTACATACTTGAGTTAGTCCATGGAAGACTCAACCTTCATTCCAGTCTCTTGAACAAATGGGAGGGTGTGTTCATTGGTTCTGGATTGAATGATAGCACATGGCAGAAAGTATGTGTTTTTCTACCACAACTGCCTTTATGAAATAATATGCAAGAAAATAATTTCATTAATTAATCTTTTCACTCTTTCTTTTTTTTTCCACCTAGGTTTTTGTTGCTATCAATGCTTCACACTTAGTCCTTGCTGCTAATGAGGAGCAGACAATCTATCCTATCAATCTCAATGAAGGCTCTGGTGCATCACATACTAGCTTCCCTACAACCTACCTTGGCGGAACAATCTCGTCTCTGAGACGCTTGACTCATGGTCCTCCTTCCTTTGTTGGTTGTGTTGAAGATGTTGTTATTAATGGAAATTGGGTATGTTCATCCTATTACATTGGCAAATTATGAAATTTGGTGGTTCACATTTTGACTTAATATTTTATTGTTATTCAATTGATTGCCTTTCTTGTTTCAGGTTCTCCCTGAAAATCCAAGTCAGCCTGTTGTTCTCGAGAACATTGCAATGGGCTGCCCACGGGAGCCACAATGCTCGCCAAATCCGTGCCACAATGGTGGACATTGTACTGATTTGTGGAGTGACTTCAGCTGTGCTTGTGAGCGTCCATTTTTGGGGCATACATGCCAGTACAGTAAGTGTCTAATTTTAAGTGGTATTAGATTAAAATTACCTAGGCATCATTTTATAACATGTTATTTTATAAAAACAATTTCTGTAGATTTCACTGCTGCTACTTTTGGATATGAAAATATTACCAATGGCTTGGTAACGGTAAATGTTCATGACCAAGCACGAAGAGCTGTACGATCCATTGTGGACATATCTATGTTCATTCGGACCCGTCAGAGCAAGGGAGTCATTTTCCAGCTCGGTTCTGCTCCAACTGTGGAACATCAAGACCAAACTCAAATTTCAGCTCAGCTTGACGGAGGAGAGCTCTTTGTGGGCATTCAGTTCAATGGTACCCCAGAGGGCTACACTGTTGGAGGTGTTAGATTAGATGATGGGAGCAATCACCTCATCCAGGTGGTGCGCAATGTGACTCTGGTCCAAGTGAAAATCAATGGAACTGAATATTTCCGCAAGACAATTTCGGCATCTGGTCAGCTGGATGTACAAGTTTTGTATTTAGGGGGAGTTCCCCCAAATGCAAGGGTCAATTTCCGTCCAGGTGGGAGTCCTGACCACAGCAACTTCAAAGGGATTATTCAAGATGTTCAGGTAAAGCTTAATTCCACGTTGTTGTTTCTTATTGTTTTATCCTCTGTAAACAGTACTAACATTTCACATTGTTTCTAGATAAGCAATGGTTCTCGCACTATGGTGACTGAATTCTTCCCTCTGAAAGCTGATGATTTGACCGTTCCTCCCTCATTTGGCACCGTAATGTTTGCCAATGACACTGTTCTAGAGGGTGTTATATCTGATGACACATGCTCATCTAATCCTTGCCTACACAACGGAACCTGCAAAATTACATGGAATGATTTCAGGTACATATTATTATGAGAGACTGGTCCGAATTATTTTACAGTACTGTCTCCTTATTTTACCATCTGGCTTTTGTATTTTTTCTTTTCTAAATCTCTAACTTTTACTTTGTATGGATTGTATCAGTGATGCTCAAAATGAGAGCCTGGAAATAGGGTAAGCCTTTGTAAGGTTTTGAAACCTTACCTTGGTAGACCCCTGTTTTTATACACTCCTTCATAATAATTATTCGAATAGTCTACTCGAAATCATACAAGTTTATGAGTACTTTATTAATTTTGTTTCATTAACTTTGCAGCTGTGAATGTGTTCGGGGCTACAAGGGGAAAACATGTCAAGAAATGGAGTTTTGCCAGCTTCAAGACTGCCCCATGGGGAGCACATGCCGCAACTTAAATGATGGATATGAATGTATTGCAAATGCCACATTTAATGGAGTTAATTCATCAATGAGCTATAGCTTAGGCTCCCTTGAAACCTCAAGTTCTGAATCACCCTTGGCCACTTCTTACAACTCTATTGCAATAACGTACAGAAGCCATAACGGAGGCACTCTTATGCACATAGCTTCAGTAGACGGAGATGATTTCTTCTCTATTGCTGCACTCAAAAGCAGTGTGACTGTTGCCTGGAAACTTGGTCCAGGGCATGGAAGGGCTCGCCGCCTTCGCAAGGAACACTCCAGTGGATATGGAGATTGGACAGCACTTAAAATAGACATCAAGGATGGTGCGCTTCATGCTCACATCCAGCAGGATGAATGGAGCGAAGAGGCACAGTCTCAGGGCACTTACCAGTTCAGTGAGCCGGACTTTGCTGTGGAAGCCTGGTACCAGCTTGTGGCCACTGGAAGAGTGATACTGGGTGCCGGCCCTCCCATCTCTGTGGCTTCATCGAGTTCACTTGGTAGGTTTGGAAACTAGATCAGTCTGAGTACAACTCGGCGGGTTGGGACAAAAATTTGCCTTAGGAAAGCTTACTCTTTCATTCTATTGTTTCTTTATTTCATTTTTATCCCTTCTTGTCTTAAAGGTGAAGATGAAGCAACCGTATCAACGCGTCATTCTTATGTTGTGTACGACCATGACTCTTCTGATGCCCCCACTGGTACAACTGCTCTTGATGACAATGCAGTTGACTTCCCAGCAATTGGGAAGATACCAGGGGAATCTTCAGCCAATGGTGGCTATTTCAAGGTACATAAGTAATATTTTGCTGATGACTTTAATAAAAGTGTAGTTCTTGTCAGCAGTGTTTATTAAATTTAACATCCTTGTTTATATTTAGGGTTGTCTGGGTGAAGTCCGTATTGGAGGTTTGCTTCTGCCATTCTTCACACAAGACCAACTAAATATGGAGAATATGACTGCCCTAGAATTCTTTTATTTATTAAAATCTGCCAATGAAACAAATGTGATAACTGATCTTGGATGTATTCTGTGCTTTGAGCAAGAATGTCAGAATGGCGGATCGTAAGTATTTTAATTTTTACCAGCATTTTTTCCAGGTTTCCCCCATATTCCTAAATGTTTTCTTAATGTGTGCTAACTATCTTTTAGGTGTTTGAACCCTAAGGAATCGTACACATGTTCTTGCCCTCTGGGCTTTGAGCAAGATGACTGTTCAGTAAACACTGATGAATGTATTGACAATAGCTGCCAGAACAATGCTACCTGTGTTGATGCAATTGCAAACTATACTTGTTCTTGTCAGCCAGGATGGGAAGGTTGGCTGTAAGTGTTTTAGTTATGTGTGATGCATTCCATCTTATTGAGTTTCTTCTTTTTAGTTTTTTTTTTTTAAATATTGAATACCATGGTGGATCGTGATTAATCCAAAACATTTAACTTTCAGTTGTGACATCGACATTAATGAATGTGAGTCAAATCCTTGCACAAACAATGGTTCTTGTCAGAATTTACTTGGACGCTTTGAGTGCTTGTGCACAAGTGAATATGAAGGATCACAATGCCAATTCCTTAAAATGGTTAGCTGTGACAATGGTCCTTGCAAAAATGGATCCACATGCAGGGATGAAAAGAGTGAGTATTATTGATCTCACATCACATTACTTGTTGGCTCTACATTTAAGTTCTGTCTAACATCTGTTTCTTATTTATGTAGATTTGAGAACTGGAGACAACTTTACATGTAGTTGTGCTGAAGGTTTTGTGGGGCCTTATTGTGACCAACCCTTCTGTGATATAGAGCACTGCCAGCAAGGTTTCTGTGATACATCTCAACTGGTTAGTATTCACTCAATTTTGCGCTTGATTCAGCCCTTGTGTTTCTTGGCCTTCAAAGTGCCTTACCTATAAAAACTCTTAATTTCAGAAACCCTTCTGCAACTGCTCTCCCGGCTTCACTGGACGGCTATGTGGGGAGGACATTAATGAGTGTGAAGTTGGCCCTGAAAGGACAACACCGTGCATGAACCGTGGACTGTGCAGAGATGGAATAAACTCTTTTTCATGTGACTGCCGTAGCACAGGTATGACAATTAAAAAACAGTTTTACCCTTTTAATAACATTTTTAGTGTTCTATATTTTGTAAAATAACACTTTATTGTAGGCTTCACGGGTCCGAAATGTGAAGATGATATAGATGAATGTGCCCTGAACCCTCAGCTTTGTGGCTCTGGCACTTGTGAGAATTTAATTGGAACCTATAGGTGTGAATGTACTGAAGGTTTCTGTGGAGATAGTTGTAGACTGCAAAATCCTTGTCTCCTAGAAGATAACCCCTGCCAGTTTGATGGAAAGTGCACTGAAGACTGCCATTCAGAGCCAGACTATCGTTGTGATTGCACTGATGGGCACTCAGGAAAGAATTGTACCGAGGTATTATGATGTGAATTTCAAAGCTCTACAGAGATTTTTTTTTTTTTAATCTTTCCCTATTTACTCAAGTGTTTACCCTTTATTTACAGACTCCATATTATGCTGCAAGCAATCCATTTGATGTTGCTATAATTGTAGCTCCTATAATTGGTGCAATCCTCCTTTTAGCTGCAGGAGGATTAATAGTTTTTATCATGATGGCACGGAAAAAGAGGGCTACCCGTGGAACATATAGCCCAAGCCAGCAAGAGTACTGTAATCCTCGAGTAGAGATGGATAATGTAATGAAACCACCACCTGAAGAAAGATTAATTTAATTTGATAAACACTGTAATAGCAGAGTTTACTTTTAGATTTTGACTTTCAAGATGGGGTTTCTCAACTGGAATGGCAATGTGATAATATTTCTGTACCTGTTTAAGAATGAGATTTGTATCATGTTTTTTTAATTCTTATTTCTCATGACTTTGATAATTTTTTAAATTAAGTCTGTCATCTTTCAATGCCATAATTGTCATGAACTTTTCAGTGTCTACCTTTGATTATCTATAGTGAAAATTCATCAGTAAAAATGGCAAACCATGATGAATTCAATAGGTATCATTATACTTCTATTTCTGGTTGGTTAAATTACTCTGTGAGTGATAAAGCCTGAATTACATGAGCATCTTGAGGGCTTCAGAAGTCCCGGAGTGGTAGATGGTAGATGTTCTGCTACTTTAGCACTTTTCCCTCATGGTGCTCTTGCTGTGATTATGTATAACATTCAACTATGTGTCATGAAAATGCTATTTCATGTTTGTACCAAAGGGTTCCTTTAGTGTTTACCATTCTGTAAGCTAGCTTACATCTTCTCCCTTAGATAATTTCCTTTGAAGCAGTATGGAATAAGGTGATTATTCTATTCCACCCTTGTCCATTATTGTTGCATTGAGCTCAGAACTGATAAAGATATCAATGTTCACATGAGACAATTAAGTATAGTTGCAGCATCATGTTTTAAAGCTTCTAGGTTTCAGTTGTCTTCCATTTTAATGTTAACTATTCCGTCCATGGAGCTTTACACATTTTAATGTTAATTATTTTTGACTAACTGTTTAGAAAGGTCTCAATCAAGGACAAAAAGCAATTTTTTGATAATTACCTTACTCAATACTAGGGCTTATTTGCTCTCTGTATTATTGTATGTTTTGTATTATAATGTTCTATATATGACATTGTTAATTCTCCTATATTAGGAGTTATATCAATTGAATGCTGTGAAATACAAGTGTCTTTATGCACACATTTTAAAGTTAGACTGAATTTGGATATGGTATCGGAGTAATGAGTTTTCCTACTGTTCCAAGAGACAAGATTGAGCATGAATTGCAATCTTGAAGTTTGCCCACAGACCCACAACAATTTGTTGTTAGCTCATCAATTGTGTCATGATTTTTTACTAAAATATTTTGTGAGAAAAAATTACAAACTATTGTCAAAAACTATTTTATGTTTTGGCTAATCCCTTTTCAATTAATTCCCAAATTTCTTTGTTACGTGATGTGGGAATAGTGAATATTTATATAATATATTGCAACCCTTTTTTTATGTATGTGTAGAATGTATTTATAATTTTATTCTAAAGCTATTTGTATATGTGTGAATATTATCGAATGTGTGTGGTGTGTGAGTGAGAATGAACGAACAAATAGACTCCAACGTTTCATGTGATACACCCTCACTTTGACTTTCCTGTGTATCTTTGTCTACCAGTTTGTGCCTTAATGTGCAAATGTGTTCAAATTGTGTAAATTTTTGTTTTAAGTAGATGGGTTGAAGTTCTCAGTATGAATTACTGTACCATAAATCAGACTATATTTATCTTCTTTGAATATCTGTTTTTACTGTAGTACGTGTTTTGTATTTTTGACTGTTCTGATTTACCATGAATCCCTGTATAACTTGGACATTTAAACAGATATTCCGAAATCTGTTGTAGAGGCCATGAATTATAAATTATAAGAAATGACGCTAATGATCCTCCTCTTTTTTTACTCGTTCTTTACCACCAGCCGGGCCCCCCGGACAGTGCCCGAGTCGACTTAAACTGAACCGTCAGGGGGCCCTGGGGGCCCGAATCAGGAAAGCATTGCCTACCCTCCAGGCGTTTTCAGCGACTATCATCGACCCACGCCGCTAGATTGATACGGTGTCACTTCTTAGATTTAGAAAGGATTTATGAGCCTGGGGTAAAAAGGAGCATAAACCCGAAGTCCCCGTACCCGAAGTCCCCGTCACGACAAACGCCTTAGAGAGAAGCCGTGGCCTACCTCGTAGGCGTCAAAATCCGAACGACAACTCGTGTCCCGGCGACAAAGTGGTAGTAGACACGTTCCTGTTCATGGACACAAATATGTGGTCACAAATGGGGCAACATACGATGTCCGACGCCACCAGCCACACGCCCCTTTTGTAGCTAAACAGTTGTAGCTACAGTCGACATGACCGCATGCAGCTTCACCCGAACCAAAATTGTCGGCCCTAAGATCAAAGTTCGGATCGAAGTTCGGAAATCGTCGGCTCGGGGATCGAATCCCAGCCGTGGAACTTTTTTCCCGCTCTGTTGATACGCTCCCGGCGACATCCGCATCTTGGCTGTCGCTGACTCCCAAAGACTTGATCAACAGAGCGGAAAAAAAGTTCTATACGGCTGGGAGTCGATCCCTGGCCCGGCGGTGTCCGGACCACATGGCAGCGCGTTCGCCACTCGGC